CATTTTATTATTGTTGAGTTGGTGCTCTTAAGCAGAGGTATCCTGAAATTAATTGAAACAGTATTGCAAACTGCAAGTCCTATCTCACACTGCCACTATTGAAATCAAGGGAGAACAGCGGGAGACCTGTTATTTAAAATGCAGCAGCACATAAGAGAGTTCCCACGTTTCTCTACAACGGCGTGCAGTCTGTGACACTGATGAGTTCCATTCGGTTCCCTTCACACTCGTCGACTTTCCTAATGGCGTATTACAAAAACAAAGTTAGAAAGCAATTGCTATAAAGACTCTCCACTCTTGCATCAAAATATTTGTAGCTTATATTTAGATCTCATTATAATTATACCATGAAATATTGAAGAAAAGAAAATCGCAGAGCAACAGAAATATGAATTAGTGTTTCTGAAGAAAGTTAAGAGAAACCTCATTACACTAATGACGTATATTACTATCTCCACAAATTTGCCTCCACTTTTTGTTTGTCAAAGAGACGTACACCTTTACTCGTATTATAGCTGTTCAGCCCTTCGCTGGGCCTTGGCCGCCATTTCAGTTTCTTGATCCTATACACAGTCGGTAGGATACATTGAATGGGGGAGCACCCCGTTGCAATGCCTCCACCTACACAGAGAACAACACAAACAATACAGATATCCATGCCTTGAATATTATTCGAACCCACGATCCCAGCGTTCGAGTGAGCGAAAAAAAGTTCACGCCTTGGACCGCGCGGCCACTGTCATTGGCGGGAGGTACACCTGCCCTAGGTTACTTCTCGCACTCGTATATCTGCAGGAAACGTGTTTCTTCATTCAGTTCTTTCTCCGTTTCGTGTTTCGCGGCATGTCTGCAAGCAGAACAAATGGTCGAGCTCCTGAACTTCGACCTCTAAAAAAGGAATTTCCCATTTCATCTGTGGGACCCGACCAATCTCCTGCCCAGGGGAACTAGGATAGCAACAAATGTGACCAGAATGCATCTCTGACAACTCGTGACCGCTTACTGCAAGGATCTGAAAGTAGGAGGTATAACCACGCCCCCTTAGGCATTCGTGGTTCTGTGCAAAGAAAAATATAAATTCTTTCTAATTGGAGTTTAATAGTTGCTCTGCGTGAACAACCCGATCCAAGCTACGTACAGGAAGCCCCCACTAATCCGGATTAGTTTGATGGTCATACGGGTCATTAAGCGATAATCCCGATTAGCGAACAAAATGCATCCCTGAAAGACAAAAAACTTAGAACACAAATGCATGGACATTTTAATGATATAAATAGTACTGAAGAAAACAGACAAAAAGAATCACTGTAGAGCCCTTATTTAAAAGACTATAAATCTATTCATCGGTAGAAGACAGAAGTTTTACTTGTTTTTGAACGTAATAATGCAGATTTGAAGAATCTGTCAAGTTTTATCTGAACAGACAAGTGACTCATCTACCTTCATAAACGCCAAGTGTCTTTTAAAGTATGTAACCAACTAGAATTTTTCATATTTCGATCCAGAATAACTGTAAGCGGTTTATCGAGGGTTTACTCTATGTACTTATTTATTTATGTATTTATTTATTTAATATGTATACTATATATTTCACTTCTAATATTCCCCACTTAAATAGTACCCAACTCAATGGAGTAGAACCCTTGAGAATCTCATAGCTGTTCAGCTGGACAATAAATTACTCTTATCTTATACACTGTAATGCTGTCACTTGGTAGAGTGACTATAAAATGGTTTGGATTGGTAATCGGATTTATTGGACATTCATACAACTCGTTACTGTACTTTACAAATCACTGTCACAAACAGACTAGTGTCCTCAGTTTGTTACACTCTCCACTAGCTGTTGCTTGGTAGCGGCTTCCCACAGCGGACGTTCCCCTTCCCTTTGGTTCCCGAAATATCCACAGTCTCAGCTACTAGATTCTCACAGTGACAGCTCACAACGAGTAGACTGCAGCAACCCCCTATCTCACTCACTAACCCATCAGATCACCTCAACTAAACTGACTCTCAGAGTCAGAGTCAAAATTACGACTGGCGGTGTGCCGCCAATCAGTTAGTCTTGGCACCAAGAATCTTGAGAATCACGACCAGAAGTTTATTTTTTTCAGTTTAATATTTGCGGTTATAGTTCTTGTGTAACTTCCTCTCTGACGAGAGGGCGGGTTTGTCTCTTATGAATACGCTTGGCCTCTGTCAATAGTACGTGTTGCACATATAGCTTGTTACTGAAAATGTTTTCTTTGTGCACTATATACAAGTCCTCTGTCAGCCCAGGTTTTGAAAAGCAGATCATGCCTATCTTACTTATCTTATGCTACAACGGCAGCTTAGTTCCTTGAACGGCCGTAAGCTTGACCGCCAACAAGCTTAGGCTTCTTATACTTTCTATATCTGGCTTCAGCTTATCACTGATTCTCACTGTTTTGCCTATAATATCTCGGCACAGACCGGACAGAAAACATCGTTCCATTATTTCTGAGCAATTTCTGCTGTGGAAATACGCTTGTTTGCGAAGCCGTCACTTAGTAACGGATTTTACATAGTTCCTTACATAGTTTACATAGATCGTTGCCTAGCAACGGGTCGACATTGTGGCATGTCAACCCGTCCATATGCGGGGTCCTCCGACTGTCTCTCCATGTCACGTTTTACGGTGACTAGTTCTTATCCCGATGGAAAAGCCCCCATCTAGATAATCTATGTGGATGTACGCGACAGCTTGTTCAATATATTTACTGTGCCCATCAAACATAACCTACAGATCTTCCTTTGCATTTGAATTCTCAGGGCGTACCACACCGTTGTGACGAGACCCTCTTGATTATTTTAACCAGTTTTGTTTGCAGTAAAAGGTCTCTTCCCATGGATATAAAACAGACTAGGAAAATGATTTCATCTTAAATACCTCGAGCTCATAAATCTAATTCCAAATTCGCGTACAAGCCAGAATATCAGGTGACTCCGAATCTACTTGCAGTCTTTTTAATGAGAAAATCAGAAAAATAAATCTTTCATTGGAAAAAATGAATATGTCATTAAGTTCTTATGCTTTCGTAGCAAAGAGGAATAGAAATCATACCATTATAAAATATCAGACACAAAATTTAATACCTTCAACATTATCTTAAGTATTTTCACAAATATCATTAAAATTAGCAATCATATTATTCATATGTACTCTTAGGGACTCGAAATAAGACACCTCTTTTCTAAGAAGCAGTATTTGAATGAAAAAAAAGACTTGGGCTAACGCGGTAATGAGCCCAGTAATATCCTAACTGACCTACCAAAAAAAATACAAACTCCGTGGATTTAGTCCGCAAGCGAATTATACCGACCGAGCGACCGCAGCTTGTCGGCGATGTTAGTACCAAATTTAGCGGATAGAGGGTGTCGTGTGGTCAGCGCAACGAATCCCCATGGCCGTTAATATCGGTTTTCTAGACCGGAGCCGCTACTTTTTCCATTCAAGTAGCTCCTCAGTTATCCTCGCGAGGCTGAGTGGACCCCGTTCTAGACCAAATACTTCTCAGAAAATCTGGTAACGCCGGGAATTGAACCTGATCCTCTGGATCTGTAGCCAGGAACTCTGACCACTAGACTTACGAGTAGTGCAAAATAGAATTTCAATTATTGTTAAGTAACTGAAGCATATTCAGTACCTAGTCCACACAACCAAATATTTCCATTGAGTACTGGGATTTCCAGATTCAAAACAAGGCCCTGAGACCTCCTGTTTCGACTGTCTTCTTCAGCTGAGTGCCTCAGATGAACTCAGGACCTCTTCCTTTCACATATTTTTCTATTCATTATTATACGACACTACCTATTTTGAGCTACCGGCAGCGTCGTTAAATAAACCACGAATCAATGAGTAGTAACTCTTATTTTAATGAACACTTGTCCTGCATTTTGCGTTATCCAGCTGCAAAGGCACTAAATCTAAGTCACGATTTTTTGCAAGGGTTTCACAACTCTCCTCGCGAATGCATGTAAACTACATTAAAAGAGATTATTACAGATCCATTTCAAGTCCCTATAATTCATCGTTCATAATAATGATACAGTTTTTCATAATCTCTTAAGTTAACATGGGCATCAAATGAACATAAAAATAAAAACCCCCACGCCAGAGTTTCTTTGTTATGGAAGATAACGAAGAAAATTTGCCTATACTTAAAGCGTCAAATAATCAACCATTTATCATTACGTCCTGTGTTCTTACAGATCTGGCAGTATACAGGCCCCATAGACTCGATGTAGCCTCGTTCTGCTATGCTGACGAAGAACACAGCTAAATATATATTTTTTTAAATTCACTTAGTGGGGGGTGGAGTCTAAATGGGTCCACTAGGCACGGCGATCACTTATTGGCCTACTGTAGCCTGCCCCGGGTGATTATGATGATGGAAAATTTGATGGAATGAAGATTGGCAGAGGAAACCGAAGTATTCGAAGGAAACCCGCCCCAGCGCCACTTTGTCCACCACAAATCCCACTTGACCAGACCCGGGATCGAACCCGGGTAGCCGCAGTAGGAAACCAGCGACTAACCATTTGAGCTATGGCGCGGCCAAGAACACAGCTATCACGGAATTTGATTACCAAATATACGGTCTAAAAATAAATGTCTAGGCTTCTTTTACGGAGGTTGTCGGTTCAAATCTCGACCGGAACATTGCTGCCCTGACAGTGTGCTCGTGGTTTCCCTCAGTATCTCTAGGCAAAAATCAGAAGAGCGGTTCGATTTTGCCAAGACCATTTTCCTCCATATCTTCTCCCGTACGTCGGATAACCTTGTATACGATGTTATCTATATAACTGTGTTCTCGATAATGATGGCGTCTTCAAATAAGCCACAAAAACACAAATAATTAGATAATCGGAAGAAAATATACAAAAGAATATATAAAAATACATATTTATCAGCGAAGAGGCTAATTACAGAGAAAAATCTAAGAATCTACGAGTTACAGATATATGACAGTACTTACAGTATTTGTTCTTTTCCGACGTAACTGTTCCCGCCATAAGAAGCAGCAAGAGTAGGATGATTCCAAATGGGGCCCAGAGAGGGGGTCCGGGGCCCCTTGATATTAGCGCCATGCCAGTTAAAAGGCGCCGACTGTCGCCATATTTATATTATAGTACCATTATATCACCACCGACGTCGTTACCGTCGCTGCTGTCGTTCGAAACAAAAAAAGAATATCACACGGGTCATACACTGATATGCTACCATCATACAATTCTAACATGTTCCATAGTCACCTACACACCGTATATTATCCACTGTCATCAAATTTCATATTGTTACATTAATACGAACAGCAAATAGACTGTGTCGAATTGCGTGTCGATCGTTTAAGGTGTCAGCCATTACTAAGCGGGCATGTCTCCCGATGTTCCGCAAGATAACGCTAGCGTAAACACTTCTTTGGCCCCTTATAGTAAGAGAGATCGAATGGGGTAAGAAAAATCTCACTGCGCCAATTATTTTGAACTCTTGCAACACAAAATTCACATGACGTGTCTTTCGTATACACACAAGTAAGGTCTCTGCAGAGAGACTATGCAACTTTTACTGCATATACTGTAGCATGCCTATATTAAAAATATCAAAAGACAGTCATACTTCACACATTTCTTGCTAACACCGTACAATTTCTAGCGTCCGAAGAAGCAGCACTGAATTGGTACGATGACAGACGTGTCCAGTGTTCATCCGCGTAATGTTACTACTGTTCACACACCCATTCACGCCACCACTCCGAGTTCCTTGTAAACGCTACATCAGATATGTTACTTCTTTACACTTTCCCACACACTTCGCTCCCTCAGCTCGCCGGTCTGTCGGTCTATCGATCAGGAACTCTAAACTCTGCTACTGTTCACAGCAGACTATACAGCACTGCCATCTGCCTGAGGTAACAGTACTACTGCTCCACCCTCAACCCACACCTCCCAACCTCACCGTATCACTCTTACATCACGCCAGCAAAATACGCAGGCGTTAATATAACCCCGTATGTCTTTAGGTTTCAGACGTTTACTGCAGAGGAACGATATGCTGCCCTTGAGGAAGCTTCAAATGAAAAAGAGACGCATGGTTATACGATGTTACATGGTAGTTTAATAAGATATTCTTACGATCCTTGTTAAAATGGTCTCAAACATTCAGTTCCTATTTGATTTAGCTTAATGGTTTTAGATTAGGGCGACTAGACGTTGTATAACTGAACTAACAAATATAAGCATTTTATAGGCTTTTGTTTTGAATAAAACACTGTAAATCTTCACAAATACATTCACATTCCATTAGAAATTCTAACTATGCGTCATATATTTAAATAGTATCAACATTCACAGAATGTAGTAAGTAAAGTGTAATGGTGTAGGTAAATATGCAAATTCAGGCATACAGAATCCCACATATGTGTTTCCAATTTAGTTAATATTCTTTTGCTTGAAGAATGTTGTCTTCTGGGATGTGGTGAGGTGTAGATATCTTGTTAACCGACGTTTCGGAGGAACGTGTCGCCTACATCTTTGGGATATAAGAAATCCGCGAGCGATGACCCAGCGTGATCAGGTGTCTGTAGACATAGTCACGGCCAGAAAAACCTCAGATCTTACATTCTTTTGCTTCTTCTACCAAATTCTCAGTTTGCAGCAGATATATCTTTATTTGACATTCTGTCTCCAAAATGATCATCTTATAATGGCCTAAGATATTCCGAATATCCAACTCCAGGTAATTCTTATGTTTTCTTCATGACCAACGCGTAACGTCTACAACCAATAGCTCAAGCGTTTAGTCGCTGGCTTCCCACCGCGGAACAAAGTGGCGCTGGGGCAGGTTTCCTCCGAGTACTTTGGTTTCCCCTGCCAATCTTTATTCCACCAAAATTTTCCGTCATAATAATCACCCGGAGCAGGTACAATAGGCCAAACAGTGGCCGACGTGCCGAGTGTACCCAACTGGACTCCACCCCCCCCCCCCTGTGCAAAATAAATAGGTCATGGCCACATCCTTCAAAGTCCTTTCCATGTTATCATTCAGCATTGTAAAATAAGCCATTAACCCAATCCCAGTAATAACAGAATTTNTCAACATTTTATTATATGTATGAGTTTTACAGATTGTAAATTGACAATGGTTCTTAACTTGATAGTTCATTTTATAGTGTGGATAGGCTACCAACGGCAGAAATGCAGTATACATGTATTTCTGAGGTTTTTATTAGTGTAATATCTATAGGCTGCATATTTTTGTCAATAAAAATGTACCCAACAGACGGTCCAATTGCGACTTGAGAATATATGCTGATAAAATTTCCTGCTGAAACATCAAAGCTTATATTTACATTATTTCAAATGATTTTGTACAGTAGTCACCACCTGAGAGGATGTTTGTACAATTATATACATCAAACTTCACTTGAAAAGTGGCATACATATCAGAAGTACAAGACCTACACTTAAGGGCAGACTTCAGTTGTGTGGAAGTAGCCTATGAATTTGTTGAAATGGGGTACGGAACAACCAGAAGTAACACCAGTAACTTGTAATGAAGTCTACATCGGACCGGACATCTAAACACGTGGATATTAACTAAAAGTAATAACTCCGTGGCTTTAATCCGCAAAATAGCGGCTCCGGTCTAGGAAACCGAGATTAACGGACGTGGGGATTCGTTGCGCTGACCATGCGACACCATCTATCCGCTAAAGTTGGCACTATCTTCGCCGACAAGCGGCGGTAGCTCGGTCGGTCGGATATTAGCTAGGTACAAGAATAAACACAATAAGATTAATGTGAAGTGACTAAGCTCTTATCCGTGTTTTTAGACTTGGCAGTACTGAAAAGAATGCGCAGCGCAACTGGTCGAGTCCCCTAATTGCGATAAGAATTTCAAGGTGTGTATGAGGCCTCCCTTACTACCATCATACAGTTGCAACCACTGCCCCGCTACTTGTTTATACTTCTCACTTCTCTTCACGCTCAACCGAGAGGCCAGGTGTAGAACTTCTCTAATGTTCTGTCATCTTAACTAACCAACTAACTTGACGGAGCTGAGCTCTTCTTGGGAAGCCACCAGTTGTGCAGCTGCTCAAGAACTTCGCAGTAGTTTATGGAACCCAAAGGTTCATTACCATGTTCACAAGAGCCCTCCACTGGTTCCTATCCTGAGCCAGTTCCATCCAGTCCATACCACCCATCCTAGCTCTATAAGATCAATTTTAATATTGTCCATCCCCCTACGTCTTGGTCTTCCTGGTGAACTCTTTCCTTCTGGCTTTCCCACCAAAATCCTATATGCATTCCTCTTCGGCTCCATTCGTGCTACATGCTCCTGCCCATCTCATCCTCCTTGACATTATCATTCTAATTATATTTGGCAAAGAGTACAACTTACGAAAGGCATTATTGTGCAATTTGCTCCAAACTCCTGTCACTTTATCTCTCTTCGGCCCAAATATTCTCCTCAGAGACCCTCACTCTATGTTTGTTCCTTTATGTCGGAGATGAAGTTCCACACCCATACAGAACCACAAGCAAAATTACAGTCTGCATACTCTAATTTTTACGTTCTATCGTCTCGGTGAACATAAATTACTCGTAGGACATCAAATTAATAAGTTGGGCGTACTATCAACTGAAGCATTGGAAAACTGTCGTTATGAGCCCAATTGTATCCAACTTGTTCAAGTTTCAATTTCTTCTGAAATTCATCCTTGAAGCTCACGCTGTATCCACGTCAGAACTCACGGAGTTCTGCAACACTCTTGTATTCTGAGAGATGAAAGTGGTTATGTCTAGTTTAAGAGAGAACAAATGTCTCTGGCTGATAGACAGAACGGTGAGTTCACACAGCAACGTACTCTCTTGTACGAAGTTCCGTAACCATCTTCCTTCGCTGGAAAGCAGATGCAGAAACAATTCACATTTTAAATTGTGTTACCATGGCAACCGTTGTTCAGTGAGCATGCAAATTGTCGCATTGTAATTGATCATTATTAACACCACACTCTCCAAGAGAAGAGAAGAGGCATTTCGTCTTTCGAACGGCAGTAAGATGTATATCGGAGAGCGACAGTTTCCAGTAAACACTGTAACGGCCCAGCTTTGTTGCTGCACTTTGCATACATCACATTCTCTTAAATGCAAGGAAGAAAATTTGTTGAAGTGGAGTAGACTTCTTAGCTAATTCCAAGGAACAGAGATCTTTTTGATAAATTTAGAGTATCCCTCTTGGCCGAGAAGTTCCCCTGTCTTTATTTAAGTTGGAGGTTTATCACCACTTTCAGAGGAGCATGTGATTGGTCCTTCTCCTGAGCCAGATAAATTCATTTCACATTCTCACAACCTCATTATGAACCATTTCAGCGTAGTGTAGACCAAATATTTTTCGGAAGAGCTGTCTACCTCCATCTCAAGGGTCCATCTCAGATGCGTCTGTAGCTGTCAGATTATACAGTATCGGATTCCAGAAGACTTATTCAAAATACATATTAATGAATTTTAATTTTTACAAAATCACGACAGTGAATCAACTCTTGTCCTAAGTGCTCTTAACGCTGTGGACAAACACAGAGTCTGTGTACCTCTCTAAAGGCGAAAATTAAGTCAAAACACGTACACGGCAGGACTGTGTTTCGATTGAGGGGCCGTTCTGATCAGAGTAAGTGACTTCCGATGCGGAAGAATAAGTTTACCTAAAATGTGGCGATGTATGTATGAAATGAAGAGAAGAGAATAATAACCATCTTGAAGAAAGCAGTCTTTGGGATGTTGCGCCGTGTAGATATTGTGTTAACCGGCGTTTCGGATGAACGTATCGCCTTCATCTTCAGGACAGAAGAAAAAAGAATAAAATCCGCGAGCGAGGAACCAGCGTGAGTAAATGCTTACAGACTAACCTCACATCTTACAATAACTATCTCAATTGAATGAAATACAAAGAAATAGTGGAAAGTAAAGCTTGCTGCCAGAGCTTCCGTATAACAAGAACATGAGCTCCAACCCACAATCAAGATTACTGCGTTGGTCATTTGAAACGTTCAGGAAGATTACTAAATTAATTTAAATTTTTGTAAAGAAACGCTTGTTGAATTACAAGACTAAATTAATATTTTAATAATAATACTAGAATATCTTTATGTTTTTTATATTGATATTTAACAGACATTGAACCAGAATACTGATGTTACATTTTAACATATGATGAGCAACTAAAAATGATTGCCTGCTTCAAATTATGTTGACAAAAAATGTAAATTTGTTTTTAAAAAATTGAAGACAGTGAAGTTTTTTAGAAACTGTTGTTTATTTTTGTGCTTACTGCGTATTTGTGTAGGCCCAGAATAACCGAAGTTGTCTCCAGTCTTGATTAATTACCACACTGTTCAAACACATGGAGGTGTGGGAGAATACGTCCACGGATCCTTAGCCTCGGTACAAAATGGAGGTGAGTGGTCACGTTCCAGCTCCAGTAGTGTTACCGCAGCGTAAATACGTAGCTACGATAACTATTAGGTAGGTCTATTGAACTTGATGGAGAAGATAAAAATCCCTGCCCCTACAGGGAATCGAATCGCGATCATCCAGCACGTAACGAAGACCTTACATTTATCGAATAAAGTAAGCTTTTACATTAATACATATTTCTGTATTCATTATATTATGTGACTTTATGATCGTGAAATATTTGCTAAGCAACAACGTTCATAACTTCTGATAGCTTTACATTCACACGGAATTAAAATAATGTGAAATAGAGCACGCTCTGAGAAGGAAACAGATCTGAAATTCATGTATTTAAAACTAATTTGTAATTCAAAAGGCAGCGTGCTATCCGGCAGGAAGAGGACGAAGCTTTGTTGTCATAGCT